AAATAAAAGACTTTTACATCCATGCGAAAAGCTGGTGTGTATTTATTAACAATATTAAACAAATGAAGCATGAAAGCGGCATCAGTTTTGCGCACATATTAATTAATCTTCCGGCGTGAATAGTCTAGTGAACTTTATTTCAACCTAAAATTCGCCAGATTGTCTCAAGCCATCCTTGCACATCTTGATCTTGTAAGAAAAGTTCAACAAAATGATTCGAACGTAATTCAACTGGTAGAAAACTGATTGATTTGCAACATAATACTGGGTCAATGATCAGCTGCTCGAAACATTCTATTGTGAATTGGAGTAACATTTTAGTTTGTGTAAAAATTGTTTGTTCACCTCTATTGGATAAATGAATTTCTCTCATAGAATCAGCTTGAACTTCAGGCGTTATTCTGCACGATATATATCGCGTAGTGTGTGTAAGATTTGATATTACTTGATTAAACAAACTATCATTAGTGTATAAACGTGCTCTTTGTTGTTTCAGTTTCAACAAACGCGCCAGCAAGATAACAGCCATATGTTTAGATGCCTGACTTGTATCTTGTGATAAGGCGTTCAATGTATGTGTGAACAGATCTTCTAATGAGAAACAATCAATGATACCATTTCTATTTGTTATGCCTTCTTCTTTGTTAGTATCACTGAAATTATCAGAATCAGGCAGATGACAACCATATGAAAGTGAAAAAAAGGCTTCCATATCATCAAGAGTAAATTTACTCGACATCGTAGCATACAAGCCTAACAGGCCAGCACGTAAATGTTCTACGTCAAACGGTTGACCATTAACATTGAAGTACGGAAGTAGGTAAGTCAGAAGGCCACTGTTAAACAAATCATAACGATGTTCACTGTGTACTATAACTTCTTGGAATATACCAATTATTGATCTGATAATCTGAAAGTGCAAAAAGCAGAGAAAATAGAGGCAAGTTTCGTCTAACAAAATCAATGGAGCTTAAATTGATCTCCTGAATAGGCATCTAGCTTGTTTCATGTGCTATGCGTGTTGCCCGTAGTCAAGATGAACCTTCCCAGGGAAATAAAAGAGGTGACTCCGTGTGAACCTCCCACTTCGATGCTGACTGATGCCTGTTGCTGTTGTTTTCACTTCTTGGATGTTTTCATTACCACTGTCTTCTCCATGTTCTCTCGAATTCCTGTCTTTGCTGACGATTCTACCGACTTGTCGGTTTCCGATCCTATATTTTCGAGTTTGTGCGATTCGAGACATCAGTCATCGTGAAAATCTGGAATTTCTAGGGTATATTTCTCTGTCCAACGTGTTCCCATCTTCTCACTCTCGATAGTCTCCTGAATCACACAGTCTACCACAATGAGGAAGGGTGTCGATGACAATTGTGATAGTAGCCTTTCTTACTCCTCTCTTCACTTCAAACGACTGTACTAACACCCTATTCCATTAACTGTCTTAAAAGTCAAGCTAGTTTTTGATGTGGTTGTGTTCTCTGAGCTGGATGATTGATTTGCGAAACTTTTATCACCCTACTAAGTGACATCTTCAGCGCATACTTCAAATTGAAGCGACATTTTAGATTTCTCCTAGAGTTTATCAAAATCATCCATCTGAGCTACAAATCTTCTCTATCATATCTAAATCTTACGAGCGGGATACGCTTCTCTCTGTTCGAAAGTGGGAAGACTTCGCCAAAAGGCAAGGATCCACCAGAGAACAATTATTCTTTCCTCATGAGTGCCTTCGTCATCAAATCCTACCAACCAGTGTGAGATACAAACCACCAGTCAACTGCCCAATGGAATGGAAATTGGCCGAACAATTTGGAAGACGAATGGTCAAATTAATGACAACAGACGCACATTATCGGATCAACAAATATCAACAAATAACAGATGTCCAAAAAGTAAAATTAGAGAAAACCCTCGATCAGGAACACCTGTCAACGCTGATCACTGCAATTACACTGTCAAGTAGAAAACACAGAGAACAAAGACGAAGAGTCCTCAAAACCAAACTAGCCAAGATTGGAAAACAACAACCAGACAATACGTCTATAGACTGCGTAGTCAACCTATCAAAACAACCTCTATCAAAAATGGAACAACAACTACTACAAAAAGGATTAAACTACAACACCGGAGATGCTTCGAAAACTGATTTCTTCGCTGCCTTTGAATCATTACTCAAATCATCAAACTTGAACAAGGAAACACAGGAAGAAATACGCCAAACAATTGTACCAATGGTCAAACAGAAAAAAACAACACACACAACTCAACTCTCAAGAACTAGGCTAGAAATTAGGAAGGACATCGTCATTCCACCAGCCGACAAAGGAAGAACAACAGTAGTCATGGACAGAGAAGAATACACCAGGAAAGCTGAAGAACTACTCAAAGACAAGGAGGTAATTCAACAACTCCCAACAAATCCCATACAAACAGTGGACAACCGAATCCAAAGGACCTTAAACAATCTCACCAAAACTGGTCAGATCACGAAACAAGACCAATTGCGACATATAATTTATCCAAAGAATTATACAGAAAACTAAAACACCTAACGGAATCTTGTGATCACTCCATCAACTCTGCTATCCAATTCCTAGAGAAAATCAGAGGCATCCAAATAGATGAACAAGAAATAATGGTATCCTTCGACGTCACAGCATTATATACCTCAATCGGATAAAAACTAGCAAAAGAAACCATGGAAAATTACTTAGCAACGACGAACAACTTCCACAACAGTCAAAAATGCAATACACAAGCTGAATGGAATGCATAAATCTATGCCTAACAACATACTTCCAATTCAACGACCAAATATATGAACAAGTCAAAGGAACACCCATGGGATCGCCAATATCAGGTTTGATTGCAGAAGCAGTGATACAAAGGTTCGAAAACATATTCCTATCAAAGATCAAACCCAAGATTTGGATACGCTGCATCGACGACACATTTGTAATAATCAAAAGAAACGAGTTAGATAAAACTCACAACTTAATAAACAACGTCTTCAACGACATCAAATTCACAAGAGAAGAGGAATCCGAGAACCAAATCCCATTTTTGGACGTCTTAGTCAGGCGAACAACTACAGGAGAATTAGAAACTCAAGTTTATAGGAAATCAACTCACACAGACCAAATCCTGAATTACAACAGCAACAACCCAATAACACTCAAAAGGAATTGCATACAAACACTATTCAAGAGGGCCAGCCAGGACTCATTGCAGCACTCCCACCTTAAGGAAAATTGAAGAAAGATATCTCATGCACGTCTTTCAAAAGAATGGATATCCACGGAATTTCATCAAGAGACATGTACCCCCAAGCCAACCTACCAAAGCAAAAGCCACCAAGGAAAGCACAAAGAAAATCGCCTTACCATATATAAAGGATGTTTCAGAAATCCCTACAAGACCCTTCAAACCTTTAGAAGTTGACGTCTTACACAAGCCAACAGAGTCATTTCACGCAATTCTATGTCAACCAAAAGACTCAGCAGCGAACGAAGATAAAACCAACATCATCTACAAAATAAACTGTAACAACTGCGAAATACACTACATTGCCCAAAGTGGACGTCTCCTTCGTCTTCGTATCCACGAACAGAAGCTAGTCGTCAAAGGACATGATATCCACTCCCTCATATCACTACACACAGACAACCACGGTCATCAGTTTGACTGGGACAACAACGTTCAAATATTGGACTGAGGAAACAACAAGAATGCTAGAGAATTTTTAGAAGCCAGCCTGGCATTTCAGAGAATCATCAATCAATAGACACATCGAGATAGACAAAATTTATCAACCGATAAGGAAGAAACTTCACACACAAAGGGTCAAAGTTCAAGCCAAAGAAACAATCAGTTCCAATAAAATTAGCTGCCTAGAAGGTGTGAAAACACACAAAAACAACCAATCACGTTCAAGGTCCAGTCAGCAGGAGAGATGATTAATAAACTCCTGGAAAAATCGAAAAGCTCACTTCACTGAATTGAAGTATGGGCTGAAGATGTCACCTAGAAGAATGATGAAAGCTTCGTAAATCAACCATCCAGCCCAAAGAACACAACCACATCAAAATCATCCACCTGAGCTACAAATCTTCTCTATCATGTCTATGTCAACCTAGTGCCCAGTTCTCATAATCATTTTCAATGATCATCTAGAAGACATCTATGCATAACGAAAATCGTTGTGAAGCAGAAAATTCTCCGAATAAAAGCCCAACGATAAACGAATTATTTTGAAAACAATATGATTTCAAATAGAAGAAATACTTAGTGGTAACCATGTTAAGTGATAGTGACATATATCATCACTTAAGTCTGTATCTTTGCCTTCTGTGGATTGATCATTTATGTTGAGTCGTTTTTAGGAAATTATGATATAAAACCAGGTGGCTATCCAAATGAATTCCAAACACTTGTGGTATATGGATAAAAGATAAGAGAGCAGTTAAACTGTACCAGCCACCATCAAAAAACCTTCTGGATGACCCTCAATGACTAGTCATAACACCTTTGGGAACATTACAACTGGCTGGTAAACTGGCCAATAAACTGTATTTCAAGGTGAACAGAGAGCTTAACCACGTGAGATAATCACCAGTTAAGCACAATCAACAATCCACTATTCACACAATAACATAAATCCAGATCAAGGGCATGCTGTGAATACAGTACATATGCACCACTCATGATTAATGATGTGACTGGTAGCTTGATGGGCATTTAGAGGGTCTTTGGACAGCTTCTTGTTAGCGGCTGATAAAAATTTAGCTAGTCACTCCACCCCGACCCCCACACACTCCCAAGTAATCTACCACACATCGTAATTTAAGTCATCGGTTGGATAAGAATGACATTAAGCAGTGAATTAAACTATCAAAGATGGTGATGATTTTAATCTTAAATACCAACACTTAGAAATCATTTATATATATATATATATATATATATATATATATATGTATATATAAATCAATTGATTTTTATTCACTTACCTCAAATGATGCTGGTGAAAGTGGGACCCTCTTATCATACGGATAGTGTTCAAAAATTTCCAAACAAAATGCTGCCGAAATACCTGGACGTCCAAAAATAAAATATCCCATATTGAGAGAATTATTTTTATCATTTTTAATACATTCGCATATTTCTACGATAGCATTCTTACGATGTTTTGGATAGAGAAGTCGATTAAATAACTCGTCAGTATTAATATGTGCTTTATCTACATTCGAATTTGATTCAGAAAAATTTCGATCTAGGCTTGATTCATTCGTTATATTTATCGTTGTCTGACTTCCGTTGAAGTATCTCCTATTCATCACTTGATTTCTATGTGATTGTTGTGGTGTACTAGAAATTAACAGGAAGTTGTCGTCGTCCAGTGAATGCTTTTCTCTCAATTCACTTTCGTCTTCACCAGAATTATTCTTCCGAGGAAATTCCATTATATTATTTATTTTTCTCCAAAGTGATAGTGACACGGTTAGTAGAATCAGATTTTTAAACTCGATCAAGTGTTCTCTTACTTATATATAGTAGAAAGGATGAACTAGTGAGTTGTCATCACAATTACTTATGTTACTTTATGACTGACTCATCAATGACCTATGCATTATCAAACTAGTGTTTTCCTGATTTATAATATGTAATCTGATTACTGTTCAGTCGATTCATTTTAAAAACAAAATTCAATTTAAATCAATCAATATGTCAGTCATTAGGCAAAAACTTGTCACGACATTATTACAGACAAGGTGTGCAAAGCCTTAACTATGTGTGTGTTGAGTCATGAATAGAACTCATCTAAAAAATGCCTTGCACTTAATAATAGACTCGAAGAAAGTGATATCGATTTCTGTTTCAGTGGCTGATGTATTCAAAATCAGAAGTCTTATCTTTTGAATATGTTAATTGACTAAAGATTATCATCCACTAAACATTTAAAAAGACTTATTAGTGAACAAGGAGTATTCTTTCCGACTACTTCTTCATCACGTTCTGCAGTTATATGTCCACAATAATTGAACAATTATTGTTATTAATTACATTAAAGTTTTTAAATAACATTCAGTCAATAATGTCGATGGGTTACAGTTCGATAGCATCTCAGTGAGTGATACTATACATAGCAAATGTAATTATTCCTCAGCTGTATATCAGATAAATTTAGACAAATAATAGAGAATAAATGGGTTTATAGGTCCCACAGAAGACCAGGATAGCAATACTGGATTGAGGTGGTTTGTTTGCACACACTAACCTCTGGATGTGGTTTAGGCGAACCGGGATTGTCTCTGCTGTTTGAAGTGTTCGGTATTTGGAGACTTTTCGGAATTCCACATTAGAACACTCCTACATCAGATCATTTCACCTAAACTGGCCACAAAGTTATCACTGAACAGTCTTTTCCTATCACCTTTCGATTACTCCATACATTTGTGACTTGGAGTGTCACAAAGACACATTCCAACACACTGTAGACTTCCATCAACAACCGCCTTCGCTACATACTGAAGATGAGATGGCCAGAAAGGATAAACCACAAGGAAATATGGCAACAAACTTAACAAGAACCTGTCACCCTACAGATATACCGAAGGAAATGGAAATCAATTAGCCATAGGTTGATGAGACCACTGGAGCAGACGAGATCATGAAGCAGGCTTTCAAGTGAAACTCGAAAGTGGGAACGATGAGTTGGGTGCAGGTCCGAGAGTGATATGAGTGAGTTTACGAGCAATCGTGGAGTCAGCTCAGAATGACTGCAGAGAGATACAGTGGGTCTCTAAGTTCAGCCGATACACTGTTGCAGTAGTAATTCCAAAGGCCTGTGATACGAAAATACCGTCGTCACTCATTTAGTCATTTAATCTTCAAATAGATCAATGTTACAGAATTAGGTTGACATACTATCCAATTTCCATCTTACCTATAGTAATGTATGTATGTATGTATAGTCGACAGCTATTCACTTCCACAAAACGGTATTGACTAATCAACTTAGACTAAATAAGAGAAACTAGAGAAAATAGAAAGTCATCATAGTGGTGACAACAAAGACTGTGTAGTACGGGGACGCTTGGTTCATATCATCATCCTGCCTAACGAACCCACTACTGGGCATCACCTATCATAATTATGATGTATATATATGAAAAGTTTATCTCCTGTCGTGTGTTTTCCTATGTTAACTGTGAAAGATTTCAGTTGAAATTCTTGTAGGTGATATAAAAGAAACTGTGATCAGTTTCCTTTGGAAAAATAAGTCATAGTTGAGATGTCTGATTTCACTTTTCTTCACTTATTCCTCAAACACGCAACATGATACATCGATGGATCAACAAGGCGAAGAGATATGCTTCAAATTAACACAATCCTGTATCTCTCACCTCTATCTCTCTCACAGTCAGTCAGTCATTCACTTACCCTTCTAATCTCACACACATTAGTGCTAAAAAGTACCTGCATGTGTTCATTCTCTTAACACCGGATTTATTTTTCATTTTGAACAACCTTTCTTTTTCATGGTGGAGCTTTTTGAGTTGAGAAGAGGAGAAGCGATCGAATTTTAAGAAGATTGTCTCTTTTGGACAACAAACGACAAGACAGATAATGTGTTATGTTGGCAATTGTGTTATCAAGAGCTTTTTCAGTAAATAGATCCCAGTTTGTGTCTTTTAACATGGACCTTAGATTCAGTATGTTGTCATGGGAATAACATCTGTGTTATGTTTTTTTTCCAAGGTATGAGAAGACCCTTTTGTGCTGCTTTCCATTTACTTTGGGCAATATTCTTATGATACAGTGATCAGAATTGAGTGGTGGGGCTCTTTTTCGAGCTTCCAATATTCTTGCGTCATTTGTAAACACAAGATCAAGAGTGTTATCCATTCTAGTCGGGAAGTTGACAATGTTATCTTGTCCAATAGAAATTAGGAAGCTGTGATCACTAGAATTGAAATCTCCAGTAACTATAGACAAGGAATTTCCGAAGGAGGTGGCAACAAGGGAGGTAAATTCATCCGCAAATAAAGAAAATTCTGTGGAATTGCATCCAGGAGCAATATACATGTTCGAGATGTAAATGTAGTTGTATTTTGACATATGTTTAGTTCCACACTTAACGGTGAGGCAGTCAATATTGTCACTAGAGAATTTGAAACATACATTATTAGATGTACACCATTGTGAATTGATGAAGATGGCGACACCGCCACCACGTTTCTTCCTGGAACTACACCGGTCTTGTCTGAATAATTTGAAGTCATTTAGATACACTAAATTGTCATCATATAGATCATGAAGCCATGTTTCTTGAAGTGATATGATCTCAGTATTATGATATATAATGGAAGACACAAGTGATTGAAGACAGTTAATTTTAGCTGGAAGGGAGTGACAATTAGTTCTCAAAATTCCTGGAACAGTCATGAATTGAATAGGGGTATTTTTTAAAGCTCTTTGCCACCCGGCATGATGCTTTTTTTGTGTTTTTTATGGAATTGCAGATTAGTAGGTTTTAAGGATAATAAATAGTCGCTAGAATAAATAATCCAATTAGAGGTCATAATTGAATAAGATTGAGTAATTTAAAATGAATTGGAAATGAGAAATGAGATGCAATACGATTTGTAATATTTAAGGTATTCGGTATTTGGTAGGCCGAAATTTAAGCAGGCCGCCAAGGTTAATAATGAAGTCAAAACAAAGCAAAAAAGCACACTGTGAAACTACACTTGAAATATAAAAATATGGCAGACAGTAAATCAGATAATCTGACTGTACCTCTCGGTAGTCATCTGAATGTTTCTTTGTTTGGTTTGAAGGAGAAATAACTTCACTATGTAGACATATATGCGGGCAGCATATAAACCATTATGTGGAGAAAGTGAACACAGCGAGGTTTTCATCCTGATGTCATGACCGTATGTGGTGTGGTTCAGATGTAAAGTGTTTGACTGGTTTCACCATTTCAACACGTCTATCCATCCATGAAAATTTGAAGGACCAAACAAACTCTGTAGTAGTATGATGATATGCTGTAACTCACCTGCTGTACCATTCCATCCATCTTGACTACTAGTCAATAAGGGATTACTCATGCATTCATTATTGAAAACTATTTGATTCAATTTCAGATTTTCCCGTCTACTCACTGGACTGAAGTGCTTGATCTCGGTGGGAACACTATCACTCATTGAAGAATGCAGGTATATCCACATGACGAGTCCCAAATTGCATGAAATGCTCATCCTGTAACCCACTGCTAGTCACCATCCACCAGGTGACTTCAAATTGTTGAAAACACGTTTGATATTGGTTGACTGGATGGAGCATATGAATTTCAGTTTCGGGCTCATGGTAGCGAAGTTGTATTTACCAGCTTGTGAAACACTTTGCGGCTGAGTCAGCGCGGTAGTATCGCATCCCTCAGTATTGAGACTGAATCACGATACTGATCAGCTGATTTCAATAATCACCACATGACGCTGTAAATTATTCACTGATATCTCATGAATACACCTGGCACAACCAGATAAAGAGACTGTGATCATGGGTATTACTCGCTACTACATTTGTAACATGAGCATAATTACCACTGAGATGAACGAAAATGTCAGGTAACGAATAAACTGAAACATATTGACGCCACATTATGTACTCAGTTTAATAAGGTTGACAATCAACCAACATAGAATTCTTCATGAAGAAGCTTCAGTTGAAATCGCTACTTCTCGAAGGAGCAAATAAATAAAGGAAGGACAGATACGTTGCTGAAGTGCATCACACTCAGACTGCAACTGGTAGTTCTTATCACTTCGACCCTCCACCCCCCCAGTCAACCAACTATCCCATCCTACATGCTTATTATCAGTTATTAGTGGTTTCACTACTAAAAAACTGCTATATTTTGGTTCACACAAGATTTCTCCCGATTGCCATATCTACTAGAACTCCACATTGTCATTGTTCCATTTATCTTCCTTATTTAACTATCTACTTCATCTCAACACTATTAAACACGCATTCTCAAGTAAATAATCTTCATTTTGGTGGAAAGATCGACTCATGCAATATTTCATCAGTCATCTATTCCACCACTTCTATGTCCTCACAATATCTGACATTTAATATACAAAAATTCAAAGATACCGAGATATATATATATGCTACATTTAGTTGATTACAGTACGGCATTTTATTTTTAAATTTATGTTAATACTACTTTGACTGAGAATGAATTCTATGTACGAATTCTTACAAAGCTTATAGTATATTCAGACTAAAGTTCTTTCAGAAACCCATAGAGGAAGCGCGAACAAGCTGTCATTCCAATGAAATATGCTCTAAATTCACCTGAGAATTCAAGATTGGGAAATTTTTTTGATAGTTGTGTTCAAGTTCGAACTCATGTTTGTTTTTCAAACTCAGGTGTTACACATAA